CGCTGTAAAACATATTTTTTCCTAAAAAACGGTTGAAAACAATAAGAAGTTTTAAAAAGCCGACTGTAGATTTCAACATTTTGGGGTCGGTCGCAAAGTGCAATACAACATTTTGTTAAGGCCTAAGTGCTGTCTACGGGGACTGGAGAAATAGAGGGATAAAGAGAGTGAAAGGGAGAGTGTGCGCGGGAAGTTGGAGAGAGAGGGGGGAGAGGATCAGGGAGAGATATATGGAGAGAGAGAGAGAGAGAGAGAGAGAGAGAAAGAGAGGGTGGGAGGCATGGGGGTCGATCCTTACGTAATACCTATTCATCAGGGGGGATGAATGACTAGATCATCCCCCCCCCCCTCCTGATGAATAGGTATCAGTTACAGATCGACACCCATGGTGGGAGGGGGAGTAGGGAGAAATATAATTATAAGAGAAAGAAAGGGTGATATAGATAGATGTGGCAAAAAAGAGAGAAAATGAGGGGAGGAGAGAGAGAAGGTGAGAGAGCGTTAGAGAGAGAGAGAGAGAGAAAGAGAGAGAGAGAGAAAAAGAGAGAGAGAGAGAGAGAGGAGGAGGGGGACAGTCTAGACAACTCACACAATGGTTCTTTGATAGGCAACCCCGTTCATAAAGTATAGGGTAGTTATAAGTTAATGTCATGATTAGTTAGTTTGTATAATGTTTTTACCATCGCTGTTGAAAGGTTAAACCTTCCTTCCCAGATGTGCATGATTCACTTTGTTGTTGATGCTAGTTTTCTTGCGGTGTTCCGTACCTGAAGGCGTGTTCTATTTGTTTGTTATTGTTGGTGCCGCTTCTGCTTCTTCTGATGATTTTGTTATTAATGTTATTTCGAAGCTTCCGGGTCGCTGGACAACAAATTAAATAGAATGCAACAAAAAAATCTTAAAGTGACTCGATAACATTATCTAACGTTGATGAAAAAAAAAATTACGTAATTTTTGTATGAAATATTACTTATTATATTCCTTCTACTGTACTAACCCTCTAACATGCAAAAAAATCCCGAAAAAATTCTCAGACCTCAAAGATATTTATGGTTTTCTTTGAAGGTGTCACTGTGCGACACCCTCTAACAGTATATTCTCCCAACCATTTTTGAATTTTCCCAATCGTTTTTTAATGAAAAAAAATACATATAAAGACGGGCTTTACAAAATCTGTCAACACTTAAATGTCTGGAATGGTATAAAGAGCCAATTCATTGCTTTGTGACGATTTACATTCAACTAAAATGTAATTAAATTGTAATAATATAGTTGGGAGAATTAAGGAATCGATCAGATAAGTTCTTACCAAGCTTTATCATTAATGGTCTGTATAGTCGAACTTTCAAATTATCATTTATTGTACATTTAGTATTGAAGTCACTACCTAAGCACTATTTTCTCTCATCTAAACTATGTAACCAATTGTCTTATTATTTTGATAGATAAAGGATCAAATAGTGTTGCACGTGTAGTGCAATGGAGTATAATTCTATGTTTGGTAAAATATCCGTTAGGCTCTGGCTTTGAAGTGTACATCTAGCCGTTGAATAACTTGAACCATGTAACAACATACTTGCCCCAAGCCCTTCCTATTTTCTAAGATGATTTGGCGAAAAAAGACGGAAGTTGTGGTGACATTTGAAGTCAGTCTAGTGCATTTCCTCAAGTTACTGGTAAAACAATAAAATGGTGATATTAATCTGATACTTATCGGATATAAAATATACATGTATAGCACATAATGAGGAAAGGCTACGACATACTATTTAGGTTCTGAAGTGCTCTACAAATGCAAACTTGCACCGATGATAACAATGACAATTTTCTCGCTCGGTCGCTTTGCCCCCTCCCATATTAGTAGTTTGAGCTTTACGATATCTTAAAATGGATTCTTTTTCTATTTGGCAAGTCCTGTGCAATGTAAACTCCTAATAGGACCTATTGCAGGTTCAGCAATTCCGAGGGGACAGGGGACCCTCTCCTTGGAATATTACAGGGGTCGTCCCCGGAATTAATAATTTTTTTTTGTCTTCTACATTTAATTTGATTTGATTTGATTTATTTATTTCTGTTTGATTTTCTTTTTCTTTTGCATTTTTACATTTTACAAATATATAACAAACAACAATGCAAATTTACACATGACAAAAGAATATATGTAGAATAAAGTAAGGCTGGCTGTACCTAATCAAACAGGAGGGTTGACAAAGTAAGCAAAGCTTGATAGTATGACTACTCTCAAAGAATACAAAATAATACAAATATGGAGGAATAAAATATTGGTTAAATGTTAACTGTAAGAAAAATTGTGGATAATATCAGAACCAGACTACGATTTACCTGTGTGGTTGAAAGTTCGCTGAAAAGCCAAATTTCAAACCGCAAATAAAATGCAACCCCTCCTTCTTTTATTTCACCAAGAAAAATGCGGACAAGAAACAAGGACTTCATTTGACTTGGCCGTATGATTGAGCTTTGCCATAGTCACTTCCTTCCTATAAAGTTTCCGTTTAATGATATCATAACATACAGCGTTAATAGGGGCGTAGACACAAACTTCAGGAAGGGGTGGGAGGAGGGGGCGGCGGTGCATATGGACTAGAACTATATCCAGCAGAAATAAAGGGCAAATTCAGCCATTGTATAATTTCATTTGTATGAAGGCAAAACAAAGCAAAAAGAACAAATGAGAAACAGAAGGGCGAAAGTTTGGAATAAATCGGACAAACAACTAATACAATTTCGAATGTTTGTTGTTTGAGATCATTCACTAAATCTTTGCGAATCTCGAATTTGCAATTTGGTCAATGGATTGTGACTATACGCCACATTGATAATATAACCAATCCAATATCATTGCCCATACGTTTACAGCGATTACAACTTTCAACAATTCATAACATTCTTATTTTATGTCCGATTTCTGTCAAACTGCTTCTCTGATTTTTCTCTGCTATCTTTAAGCATGTTTAGATAATTTGTCTAATAAGGTTGGATTTTCCTTTAATATTCAGTTATTTGCCATCATTATGTCAAGATCGACGACTTTAGGCAAATTAAGTCGGGTGAACAACATACAGTCCGCTGAAAGCGACACTCCAAGGGAATATTCTACTATTGATAAGGCTTAATACACTATCAATTTCTGCATGAAAGGATTCAATAATGCTGTTGCAGATACACCACTATCACCAGAGATAATAAAAAGGGAGATTAAAACAGAAAGAGAGAGAGAGAGAGAGAGAGAGAGAGAGAGAGAGAGAGAGAAAAGGAGGGGGGGGGGGTGGGTTCCAGTAAAAGAAATGGAAACGAAGTACATGAATTTGGCCGACTGGTAATGCATGGGACGTAAATTACCTTGTCATTTTTCTTGTTTTATGCCAGAAAGCCTCCTGAGTTTGAGTCTTTTGTTTTCCATTGAAATCATAAACATTTCATCCCGAATTAAAGACTCTTTTGCGAGGGAGAGCATTCAGCATTGTTCACGTTTTATTCATTAAGAATGAATATTTAACGAGGTCGTATCAACTATACTCTGAAAAGTCAATCTAAGACACGAGGAGAAGGGGGAAGGGAAACTCAACAAGTGAGAGAGAGAGAGAGAAAGAGAGAGAGAGAGAGAGAGAGAGAGAGAGAGAGAGAGAGAGAGAAACAAACAAGATATACAAGGGAGAGATAAAGAATTAAAAGGGAGAGGGGTAAACGGAATGTAACCCCTCCCCCCCCCCCCCCTTCGCTCTATGATGAGAGCCACCTCAACAGATGCGTTCTCACTGTCTGTTTTCATAATCTTTCACATTCAGATTTAATCTTTTACCTTTAAAGCGACAACACGCACTCACATATACATGTACATGTGGAGGTGTGTGGGTGTGTATTTGTGCAAATACCAGAGAGCAAACAAGAAACGGTTGACACGCAAGTAGTACGCGATAAAACAAATATAACAAAAATCGTGTGGATTTTCAACTCTTTAGGTAAATCAAGGTTCCGGCATTGTCACATTTGTTTCTTTGCTCTAAAGATTTATTGACTCGCGAAACGAGAATAAACCATGATTGTCGAGGAGAGCGAACAAAATGTGAATAACTATTATGAACAGCACGACTCGCTAAGTCAATTCTGGAATTCTTTACATATTATTTGATTTGCGTTGACGCATTATGAAGTGATATGCTTCGCTGGGTTTGTGTGGCACCTGAGAAGAAAAGGCATTATCGTTGTACCTATCTTAATATTTGAATTTGTTTACCACGCTACTATGCAGAGTTCAGTCTACGGATGAATTTCTGTTGCCTCATATTGGTATACGCCTTGCACTAAAGAGTGAGCGACAGAAAGAGAGAGAGAGAGAGATAGAGAGGGAGGGTGTGTGTGTGTGAGAGAGAGAGATAGACGAAGAGAGAAAGAGACAGGGAGAGGGAGATCTGGGCCCCGTCTTACGAAGAGTTGCGATTGATCCAAATCAAGTCCTCTAATCAATCGCAAGTTTGCAGTCTCCTATCTCTTATGTACATAGTTGCGATTGATATCAATCTCAAATAAGTTACGATTGATATCATCTCTTTGTAAGACGGGGCCCAGATCGAGAGACAAGAGAGAGAGAGAGAGAGAGAGAGAGAGGGGGGGGTGGGGGAGAGATCGAGATACCAGAGAGATTAATAATGACATGTAATGCCTGAGAGAGAGAGAGAGAGAGAGAGCATTATAAATGTGCATACACTGATAAGAGTAGACTAAATTATTTGAATACCTTTTTGAATTATTATTTTCCACTAGAGCTATAGCTTTCCGTCACCTGACCAATCTCTTGTTTCCATGAATATAGTCAATAAACCTAACAATCATTATGTACATACAGGTGTATTTATCGATTATTGGAGAGTGAGAGCATTATGCTGAATGCCCCAAGGCCAGATCTTTTTGTTAATGAAACGGTTCTGGTCGTAGCTGACTGGTTCACGCACGACCTTCGCGGAAGATTACAGATCAACATTGGTGCGCGGGCGTTAGAAGCCAATTGGGTGTTGAAGTTAGAGCAAGAAGTTGACACTCATTAGAGTGCATGCAACACCAGGAAGGACATGAAACATTGTTAATCTGCCCTCTTCGGGTACTTTATCCAGCCTAACTTAATGTAGTATCGCTCGGTTAGCTGTTGTGACTTGCGGTAGATTTGTTTCATTCGCAGTCGTCTTTGGAAAGTTGGTGTTTCGGATTTTGTTGTTTGGTTCCCGCTGAGTTGAGGCAGGAGTTATCTTCTTCCATCGGGACCGCGTCGGAGAACAACCGGCAGCAGTATGGGAGGATGCATGAGCAGAGACCAGGGGATGGGGAGTAAGTATATAGCTACGATCCACAATGACATTCCTAGACGTTTACGGTAGTCTTTACTTTTTGAAAATGATTTATTTGCATACTTCCTATATGTTAAGAGTGCAATCAAATGAAATACCCCCTTGAGTCGGCCTTGAGTGTCGTATCTGGACTATGTACCATACATTATAGATTACAATATGTTTTGTGTATTTTGTATTAACCAGACGTACTACCTGAATGCACGTACGTATGTATGTCTTTATTTTATTTAAAAATTATGATACGATATGATTTACAAGAAATATTCAGAAATGTACTAATATAGCTTATCCAAACAAATTCCCTGTCCTCTCGAAAACATGAGATTAATATAGTAACTGAAGCAATTGTCCCTTTGGACCCCCACCCCGTACCCATTCACTCCTTCTCTTTCTCTCCTCCCCCTCCCTCTGTGTGTCTGTCTTCCCCCACTCTCATAGAGCTTATCCAGTCTTCACTGGCTTCACAAATAAATTCTCTCTCCTCTCAAAAATATGAGATTAATATTATAACCTAAGTTAATCGTACATTTGAACCCGTCCCCATTCCTTCCCCCTCTTTCTGCCCCTTCCCCTCCCCTCTATCTGTATTTATTTATCTCTTCCCCTTGTCTGTCTCTTACAATATAGCACTGTTCTATAGATTATACAATAAAATACAATAATTCACGGCAGAAGCGTTATATCCCTTTCTCCCACTCTCCCCCCCCCCCTCCGGACGGTCTCTCCCCTCCCTCTTCTCTCTCTATAATTCCCCCGGCCTCTCCCCCCCCCCTCTTCTCTCTCATTCCCCCTCTCTCTCTCCCCCTCTTCTCTCTCATATCCCCCCTCTCTCTCTTTCCCCCTCTTCTCTCTCATTCCCCTCTCTCTCTCTCCCCCCCCTCTTCTCTCTCATATCCCCCTCTCTCTCTCTCCCCCTCTTCTCTCTCATTCCCCCTCTCTCTCTCTCCCCCCCCCCCCTCTTCTCTCTCATTCCCCCTCTCTCTCTTTCCCCCTCTTCTCTCTCATTTCCACTCTCTCTCTATCTCCCCCATCTCTCTCTTTCTTTCCCATCTTCCAGACATCGTAGCACCTTGCCCCTATTTCTTCCTCTTGTCTACCATCTGTTCTCTTCTGGATGTAGATCTGTTCTCATGTTGACATGTCTGGAATTACTCATTCGCGAGGTATTTACGACCTGAGACCACAGTAATGTTGCCCTTTGCCCTCGGGCAACGCCGAACTTAAAGACGGGCTGACTAATTATGTTGTGTTGTTGCGCAAGAATATGATTGTCAACAGTAGAGAGGGAGGGAGGGAGGGAGATATATATATATATATATATATATATATATATATATATATATATATATAAGGGAAGGGTTGAGAGTGAGAGAAAAATGTACCGTGATGCTATTCTTTTTGAGATGGTTATCGTTTTGTTTTTTTATCAAGAAAAACGCAATTTTCTAATGAACGATTCAGGAGTTGTAACGTAATATTAATGATACTACTACTTATACTATTAGTACCACTTCTAATAAATAATGATAACAGTCATGACGAACACCCCCATTTCAAAAATCGTTTTACAGCGCCTGATATTAATTAATGTAACTACATTCATTTTTCAATTCCAAAAGTGTTGCCAAAGAAATTAATTTGTCCAGTTCTTTTGAATACGTTGCATATTGATTTCAGATCGAAAAATTTCCGCTTTTGGGTTATTTACGAGGCTCCCGATAAATCGGAAGCCAAATGGAATTCATGTTTACAATCTCCAATCACAGAAGCAATTACTGCCCCAGCCATCTAGTGATCGAGGTGATAGGCATGCATGAAGATAGGTGTGCATCATCGTCACTCGATAGGCTGACATAAACTGCTCTGCTGGTTTAATTTTTCAGTGGCATGTTCCAACGCGACAGATTTGATTCAGCGATCAGGATGTTTGTATCTTGTCTCTTGTTGTGTCTGACATGATATTTCCATTTCCTCCAAGCTATGTGGAAAACAGCTGCAATGTAGACCAAGGGTCACACTTCAAAACAGAATAATAAATAATAATAATAATGACTAGTTATAGAGCGCCATATCCATTGTGCAGAAATGCTCAAAGCGCTGGGAGGATACATGAACATTCCATGAAAATCAAGGGAAACGTATCTATAAGATCTTTGTTTCGTCATATTTATTTATTTATATATTAATGGATTATTATAACTGATTATTATTGTTATTATTTTTATTATTATTATTATCAATAATATTAATATATCTGAGTGTGGTTATTTTTGTCCATTAGGCCAAGTAAAATCGCTTCTTTGTTTCTCAACCGCATTTTACTTTTTCAAATTGAGGAGAAGCTAGTTTCATGAAATTTGATATTTTTCGCGTTCGAACAAAAAATTGCTACTGCCTACTGAGTCAATTTTAGACGCTCAAAGCAAAGTAGAAACGCATTTTATTACTGATTTTGACCACTTCATTGCATAGATGTCCTTCGATTATTATAAATGTCATATCAGAACAAAAATGATTAATAAGAAACGATTGAGACGGGTTAAAAAATTCCAGGATGTGTGGACAAGAAAGTAGGGCATGATTTTATTTGGCCTAAGTGTTCTTAGTACGGTGCATACTGTACGTACAGACAATGATTATTTATAACGACAGAGGATCATGTCGGCTGGAAGGAAGGAAGTTTTAGATGTCAAGGATCGGTTTTGTGTCCAGCAGAGAAAAGAAAATGAGAAAGAAGATTTAGAACAGCGGCGTAGCGTGGGTCCAGGCATTGGGAGGGCACCTTTTTTTTAGGGGGGGGGTGGGTGGTGGCTGTCAATTGATTGAATTCCGATTAACAATGCCAATTAGTCGGGTGTACGAGAGGGTCCTATCGTTTTCTGGTCACTGTCCTTTCCCTTCCCGTTCTTTTTCTATTTTACCGCCCTTGTCCCCTTTTTTTTTGGGGGGGGGGTGTTGGATTGGAGAGGACATTCGATTGTCACATTTTCTCAAGGGGTTGCACGCAGTGAGGGTAGGGGCATGGGCCTCCGTATCTACGACCTTTTTATTAAACAGAACTATTCATGTAATGAGACATCCAATAGAAGATCAAGTGGAAATGATACGAACTTATAGGTAAAAATGATTACAATTAAAACATTGATTATCTTCTAGCGAAGTAGAACATCTATGATATTCCGCCCCCCCCCCCCAGAAAAAAAAAATACATTTTCGGATTTCCCTTTTATTTTCATTGCTCTGTTTAATGTTCCTGCGTATATTTCAAAACAACCTTACTTCCTTGTAATTCGCAACGTTCAGTAGTACTGAAGAAGAGTTTGAGCCTTCGAGCTTGTTCCAAAATGACCATAGTAAGAGATCAGGAACTACACAGCACCTCACAGCGTTTCAGAATTAGAACCCTGCTATTCCAGCAAAGCTTCACGAGGCGACTTGGGTCATCATTGTGCCACCTCTCTCTCCCTCTCCTTCTCTTTCTCTCTCTCTCACTCGCACTGTCTCTTCTTCTTTTGTTTCGCTCTCTATATATCTTCCTCACTCTATGTTACACACACACTCTCTCATAAGGACACCCATACTCTCTCTCTTTCTCTCCCTATCTTACTCGTACACAGACAGACACCCACACCCACGCCCATCATCACCCCTCTTCTCTCTCTCTCTCTCTCTCTCTCTCTCTACGTCCGGCTCTCTCCCTCTCTCACACGCGTCTTACCATGGATAGGTTACTGTATCCAATTTTTGTTTAAATCGGAACGACCCCTCGCAAACCCAACCTCGTTCCCTCGCCTCTGCCCCCCCCCCCCCCCACTTAAGGGTGCGCATATGCGTGATCCCAGCACACACCCCCCCCCCCCCCTTTCAGCATAAGTCCGATGTGTAAAGTCAATACGGGTAGATCTTTTTCTTTTGTTATACCAGCCTTTTCAGCACCCCCCCCCCCCTTTCAGCATAAGTCCGATGTGTAAAGTCAATACGGGTAGATCTTTTTCTTTGTTACGAGCCGTAGATTTTGGGAACACGCATGCGTTCCCTCTGTTCCAGGAGAGTGTGGGGGGGGGGGCGGGGGCGCCTCTGCCATATAGAGTAAGACCAGCGCCCCAACAAACCACCCCACCCCTCGCCTGTGCTATGGCTGGTCTCACGCTATAGTACTGATCATGTGGATACAATATTTACCCAATCTTCTCTTTCTCCCCGTTCAGAAAGAAAAAAATGTATTGTTAAGGATTTACAAAATGATCTTGTGTCACTGTTGTGAATCATCCAACCCGAACATTCCGAAGTAAATAAAAGAAAATAGAGTTATATCTTGTTCTTTAACCTTTCGCATTAACCATGTTAACCCCGCACGTTCCGCTCGCACGGTAGACAACTTTCAATACGGTTTAGATGACAGCAGCTTCAGGGCAAGCATTATCATGTCTATCATTTATCCTTTGTATTTGCGATCATAAATATTTCCTCGAAATGTTATAAACGTTGTTTATAATGCCCTCCTTGATGTACAGTAGGGTTATACCGAGCACGGGTATTCACGAAAGCGGTGGCGAAGCCTCTGATATTGATAAGTCATTTAGGGGGCACCGCCGTCACTTGGGCCAGAGGGACTCACTCCTCAGTCTTTCTTACAAGAAATATGATTTATGATTTTTTTTTTTTAAAAGGGATCGTTTAACAATGTTAAATCTGAGATACACGGCCCTACGTGTCATCAGTGTCTGTGATATGGTGTAATATTGAAGCCTTAAAAAAAAATCGCGCTTCAAAATGATCAAGAAGTGCCTCAAAAAAGTAAAGATCTTTGAGTGACCGGTTTTACCATACTCGTTTTCCCCAATAGACTGTAGTGTTATGAAAACCGTCAGGCGAACGGTTTTCAAAATTTGTAATTCCAATCATAAATATCTTGATATTGATAATCAGACAGGCGATCGGCTTGTAAAAGTAATGGGGTTCCTGACTGACCTAAAG